ACCACAGCAGCAGCAATGCAGACCTTACCCCCAGGTACCAACAAAGGAAAGAACCCAAGGTGCATTTAACCAGAGTTGTTGTTCAGTCACCAAGCCGTGTCCGACTCTTTGTGACCCCATGGACTGCAGTACACGAGGCTTCCCTGTCCTTCACTGTCTCTCTGAGTTTGCTCCAACTCGTGTCCGTTGAGTCAGTGATGCCATCCAGAGACTCTTAGGGAATTCTGGCCCAAGCCTACTCTTGGCAGACAACATGAACCAGAGGATTTGGGGGGTTTTATTGATACTTTGATGAGTTTTTAAGACATGTTTCTCTCACATTGAAAAAAAAAATCTACTAGATAGTATAGATGTATATATGTTGTCATGTCAAAGACCATCTGGTATTTCTCATCACTGTAGTCTCTTGCATTATATGAGCACTGAATTGTGAGTGTAGTATGTATGTGTTTGTTTTTCTACCAAAAAAATGAAACAAAACAAAACATAGTTTTGATCAGTTTCCTAAAGAGATCTTGATTTACAAGTGTAGGAACCAGAAAATTACATACTGACTAAAGCCTCTTTGGGTCCTAAAATTGCATCCATCTCAAAGGTCAATGCCAAACTGACAGTGTTACTGGAAAATTTAGTGAAAATCTGCGTCCCTGTGTTTGAATGTTAAATGACAAAAAATTCCAGTCTCTGGTCCGGATGTTTGGAGTCACATATAGATAGAATTCAAGAACTTACACATTTGGATGATTGATGCTGGGCTCCCAGACTGCCCCAAGCCTAAGTTCATTCATCTAAGTTTGGCCAAGGGAAAGCTGTCAGGGACCTAGCATGGTGGGTCAGGGCAAGATGCTGTGAACAATCCAAAAGTCCTGATCAGTAGCCAGGAAGTGTCTCCTCACTTATCCAGACTAAATCAACTTGATTTTAACAACCCAAACTGGACTGGGAAGCTTCCTTGGTGTCTCAGACAGTAAAGAATCTGTCTGCAATGAGGAAGGCCTGGGTTTGATCCCTGGGTTTGATCCCTGGGTTGGGAAGATCCCCTGGAGGATGGCATGGCAACCCACCCCAGTATTCTTGCCTGGAGAATCCTCATGGACAGAGGAGCCTGGTGGGCTACAGTCCATGGGGTCACAGTCAGACACACCTGGGCAGCTGAGCACACACAAACTGGACTGGAGCTGGGTCACATACCCACCTGTTAACTCCCCACCCAGCCCACCTCTGCGAGGCAGGGGAGGAGAAGCCAGTTGGAAATGTGTCTTTCCCCACATAAGGTGTCTTGTTTGTCTCAACACCTGCATAGGACAGGACAGAGGCCATATCCCCACCCAACACCATCCCCAGCCACATGATCGGTTGCCCCCAAGTCTTCCTAACTGCTTGGACTTATGGAGTTAGTGCTGCAAAATCATGACTGAAGATGTAACCTTAGAGTCTTCAGACGCTTGCTCCAAGAGTTTTAACCACAGACTCCTAAAAGGCTACTGTTTTTGTTCCTTTGGGGGGGTTTCATCAGAGCCATGAGAATAAACCTAAAAACTTCTGCCACTGTGTAAAGTAACATCAATTGTTCACAGAGCCCAAATTCTATTTCCATGCAATGTTTTACTTGCCCTCCTATATTCCCCCATGTCACCTCCTCCCCCCCAGGCATCCTTCTCCTTGGTTTGGTCTCCATCTGAAGTAATATTGGAGCCTCTTCTTTTTCCTCCTCAGTAAAACCCCCTGGACTTCAAAGCAATGGATGGAATAGGGGAATAAAATTAAGGGACGACACACCCTCAACTCATCCTTCACAGAGCACTCCTAGACCCTGGCTGATTAGGGGAGCCTTCCCTCCAAGTATTTGATTTAGGGCCTGGGATCATTTCCTGAGGGGACCATCTTCCCACTGCGCAACACCATGGCACCACTGGGTGGGGAAATAAAGGGTCTGTTTACAATATTAAATTTCTCAAGACTTGAGGTGGGGTCCTTTGGACTCTTCAGCAGTGATCAATTTTTCAGTCTGCCGCTTTATCTACCTGACAGGAAGACTTGAACTCCTGCCATTTCTAAATTGCACTTCTAAATATTGACTTCATGGCGAGACTTGGAGTGTCATAACACAGCTCACTGGAGCAACGAAGATTTCCCAGGCCTCGTCAAGAGGTCTGTACAATGTCCAGTGGGGAGTGGAGAGGGGAGAGGAGGATTTGAGAAGGGAAAGAAAACCAAGTCACGTTTGGAAGAAACGCCACTGCACTCTGCTTAATCTTGCAGAGGCCAAGGAACGCCCCGGGCCAGGCGCTGTGTCTGGAGGGGACAGGGGAGGGAAGGAAAAGGACAGCTGTGGCTGTTGATGCCTCGGCGGTCAGCCAGTAGGAGCGGAGGGGCCGGAGTGCGCCGGCCATGGGCTGGGCGGCAGGGCCTTCAGAGCCAGCGGGCTCTCAAGGAATCTAAGTTTGTGGATCCAGTTTACAAGGACTGGACAGTGTCTAAGAAGCCAGAGACTTTTCATCCAATTTCTCTCAAGACTTCCACACAGCCAGACAGCTAATCTTCGTTTGGGTCACCGAGGAAATTCTAGGAGGTTATCTGTCTTAGCTTCTACCCTCCTGACAGGTAACACCTCACACTGACCTCAAGGTTTATTTGTCATGTCACATTAGTTGGGACTCAGAGAAAGTGACGGGCTTTTTCTTGCCCTTCAGGAACCGTTTTGGAGGTGCAGCAAGATACTTTACATGCAAACTAGCGTTGAGACTCTGTAGCTACTCGGCGATATATAAATTCAAATCGTTGATCATGGTTACGGAGCCAGATGCCCCAAGGTGAGATCAAGAGTGATGCTCTGGAATAGGGCAGAGAGGAGTCTGAAATACGGCAACTGTCTCCTTTAGGGTCTTCCTCTGCCTTTCCGCGAACATCAGCACCCAAAGCCACCCAAAAAGTCATGGGAGAGGGGGAACATAGGCAGATGAAGCATGTGGGGTGAGGGGAGGAGATTCCGGGGAAGGTCCTCTTCAAGGCAGGAAGAACCCAAGTTCCAGACACAGAAGGTTAAATTAACCGGATACCGTGGAAGGGCAATATTTGTCTTGATGGTCTGTTCTGAGGTGGCCCCTAAGACAGTGCGATCCATCTGTGCCTCTGCTGGGCCTACACACCACAATCCTTGGGCTTTTCAATGCCGATTACTGAGAATGACCTCAAAATGCGGCAACGTTTGGCTCCGGACCTCATCACGTTGTGCTGAACCTAAGCTTGCCTCCTCTCGGAGTCTGATTAGCTTGGCTGAGGCACCCACTTGTTTTCTTAATCTTATGTCCACCTCCTTGAAAAATGGAGCCCCCATTTAAGGTGATGGCATCTTCTAAATCCTACCCTTGCTTGAAAGCTTCTTCTCACGTCAGCCAAGGTAGCCGTTAGGGACCAAACCCCAGGTGTCTCCTGAAGCAACTCTAATGCTCCCCCAGCTCGGCAACTGGCAGCAGGACCGGTCTGTCTGTTTCGCTGCTCAGAGGTGAAGTAGCTGATGTGATGTGAAAGCCACCCCGGTCATCCCTGGCTCACCTGTGGGTGCTAGTCACTGCTCACTGGCGGCTTTAGGGCATTCGCCACAGCATAGCAGGTTGCCCGTTCTCCATCTGTCTGTGTTCCACGCTCCTCCCCTGGGAGCTGGCATGGCCTTGAATGCCCTGAACCACTCTGCACGTGACCGCCTCCAACCAGCATCCTCCAAACTCCTGCTCAAGGCCCACATCCTCCACGTGGGCCACCTGTGACTCAGCCTGGGCTTACTCACCCTTCTCTCCAGGCTCCCCCAGCCCCCAGAACCCACCACGCTCTCACCATTTCATCAGGCTGCTCTGCCACCAGCCCAGCCCTGCGAAATCCCTCCAGCAGCTTCTCTGCCTGTATCCCTTCACTTCTTCTAGGCCTCCCCCATCTCTCCTTCCACAAGGACAATCATCTAGGATTACACCACAGGAAAAAAGTGTCTGCAGCCATGTGTGTGGAAAAGTCACATTGTGCACTTGCTTAGCAACACCTCCCATTAATGGGAAGACAGAGGTGAGTTAATTATTTTGTTGTCATGGAATCCTGTCACCCTTAATGACAGAGTTTCGGCTGACAAAATGAGAGCCTCCCGGACTTGCCTGGTGGTCCAGTGGTTCAGACTCTGTGCTTCCACTGCAGGGGGCACAGGATTAATCCCTGGTTGAGGAAACTAAGATCCCACAAGCTGTACGGTGCAGCCAAAAAATAGAATAAAACAAAAAGATGAGAGATGCTAAGCCTCCTTGCGGCCTCCAGGACAGTCTACATGACTGCTTACCTCCCTCACTGAAATAAGTTAAATCCTTCAGTTTCTCACTGACCTATGATGTGCAGGCAGACTATTAATACAGAGGCTTCATTTAATGCACAACCAAAAAGTTGTAAGAGCTTTGAACCCTCTTTCCAGTATTGTAGGGGATCTCAAAATCTATAGAAATTGTACTCCAAATTCTTTTGTAAAGCAAATAAGCACCCTATTACTTATCTCTCCTGGGTATCCAAAATTCTGTCCATGAAAATGCAGAAATATTGCTGAACCAAGGATGGTAAGAGATGGCATAGTGTCTGGTCTGATGCTAGCGTTCAAACCAAAATATAAAGGAGATTTCCCTAGTGGTTAAGAATCTTCCTGCCAATGCTGGTGACATAGGTTTGATCCCTGGTCTGGGAACTAAGATCCCACATGCCACAGGGCAACAAAATATAGAGGAACACTTCCATAAGCCATTTTTTGAACAAAGACCCCACTTTTCCAAACCCTGGCTTGGTCTTCAAATATATCTATGTGCAGCAAAATATAAAGAAACACATCCATAAGATATTTTTTGAACAAAGACCCCAGTTTTTCAAACCCTGGCTTGGTCTTCAAACACTTCCACATGCATGCTTGTCCCCAGAGATGCCACTGTACTTTGAGATTTGGAAGGTTGGAGTGGGCTAGAGGCCAGTTTACTCACCTGGCCAATAGTACATGTAGACCTTCCTTTTGGCCTTGGTCAGAGTGACCCACAGAGGTTCTGATCCGTTCCACCAGAGAGGCAACCGGCTGTCTCTGTTGATACCTATGTTAAATGACTTGTTGGTGTTGGAGTCCCACATGTAGTTCTCGGTCATGTGATGGACCTCACAGTGGCGACCTGCATTAACGAAGACACATGGCTGTCAGTTTATTGTTCTGGTATTTTTACATGTCATCTTTATTTTCTGAATTTATAAGCTGTTTGTGCTTATTTAGGGAGCAGAGAACAGCATACATTCTTATTTTTTGATTTTTTTAAAAAAGTCATAGATGTTTCTTTTCTCTTAGATTGTACCATAAAGACAAACAACCCAGTAAGAAGTTCAATATTGATTGATGATGAGGCCATTTCAAGTGAAAGTAACTGGCCAAGTCTGAAGCTATTTTAAGTTAAACTGAGACCATCATGTGTAAAACCTGACCCATTGTTCGTGGCTGGACGTCCAGAAAAGAAAAGGTGTGAACACTGCAGATTCCCATGGGCTTGGGTTATGTTCTCAGCCCAGAGCTCTCTCTGCAGCCTTTCCAAGTCCTCCTCCCACCAGATCACGAATCTAGACGCCACGGAGTTTGTTCCCATTTTTCCCAGATAAAGAGGAGTTATCGCTTCAAGTGCCAAATGATGATAGAACCCCTGATGTTTGGAACAGAATGGTGAAAAATAGACTCCGCTTTGAAAAACAAAGCAAGAAAACAGCCCTCCCAGTGGAGTGTGGTGTAGACACGAGGGGAGCTTCTGTTGGGTGCAGAAGTGAAAGACGCAGCACTTGGACTCATTTGAAACATGAGGCTTAAATTATTTATTTTGGAGCAATCTGTTACATCTTTAAAGTAAAAATAACACAAACATTGGCAAGTGCATCAGAAATCGCTGTGATTTTAGTGAGCATCATTTGGCTCCGGGATGACACATGCTTCATCGAGTTCACTGACGATGCTTCGTCAAAGTGGCTTTTTTGTTTCCTTGTTTTTCTGCTGTTGTTCTTTCTTCCTGCCAGCGCCTACCCCTCAACACCCACACTTTACTTTTAATCAAAAAAGGAGAAACCGTAAAATATAATTTTGAAAATTTGCAGACTCCAAATATCCCAAAGTAAAAACCTTTTATTTCATCATAGAAACTCAGGCGTTCCACAACTGATGCTTTCAATTTAAAGCCCAGAGAGCCAAACAAAATTATTTTTGCTCAAAGCTGTGGAGTTAGTTTTTTGACCCTGACCAAAGCTTTCATGTGTGAATCGACAGAATTAATAAACAAATAAAAACTTTGAGCAAATTATCCAATGACTACAGAACTTCCTAGTTTCATTTATTCCTCCAACTAACATTTATTAAATGCTCCCCTGGATGTAAAGATTCACATTTGAATAAATGTGGTCCCCATACTCAAGTACCTTGTTATGCATGTTGTTGTTAGTTGCTAAGTCGTGTTAAGACTCTTTGCTACTCCGTGGACTATAGCCCTCCAGGCTCCTCTTCCCATGGGAATCTTGAGGCAAGAATTCTGGAGTGGGTTGCCATTTCCCCCTCCAGGGGATCTTCCCAACTCAGGGCTCGAACCCACGTCTCCTGCACTGGCTATCAGATTCTTTACCACTGAGCCACCAGGGAAGCCCTTGTTATTATAGCGCTGGCCAAAAAGTTCGAATAGTAGGGAGAAGGTGTGTGTGTGTGTGTGTGTGTGCGTTCAGCAATTTCTACTTTTAATTGGAACTGTTTCGATTACTCTAGAAGAAATGCATGAAATCCAGATCTAAGCAAGGGGCCTCATATGATTCAGTTTTGAAAATGTGCTGTATTCAGAGAAGCATGAAGCAAACAAACAAAAAAAAACTTTTTTAAAGTATTTAAAACTTCCATCCTTGTATGTCTGAGAAACTCTACAATATCATTTGATGAAATTTCCCTCTTCTTTTCAACACTCGCTTTCAACACTCTAGACCCAAAATTTACAGGCTTTCTCACTATCTTTTGCTCTTTCCCTCATGGGTGAAAAGTGATGGCGCCCCCTAGATTATAGAGCTGTAACATGACTGGATTATGAGGGAGGGGGTATGTGCATGTATGTGTGAGAGAGGGAGGCAGAGAATATTCTCCCCGAGAATTTCTGCTAAACTAAATTCTCTACTTCTCCCACTTGTGTTTTTTAAATACTCATAAGGCCTCACTGAGCAGAGCTAGGATCTTTGTGTGCAGCTAATGCATAGCTCTACCATATTTTTACATTTCAGATGATGAAGTCTTTTTTCCTGTGGTCATCTGGGTCTCTTCACTTTTTCCCTAAAGGGTCTTCTGTTCTCAACGATAGGTAGGACCTAGCATTAGTTTTTGTATCTTCTTTCCATATCAATTGGTCATGGAGCCTCTAGACTCCAGTGAGCCTCAGAGACCTTAATTATGGCTCTCTCCAGGGAAGCGTCTTTGAGACAAGACCTCCAGAGACAGCTTTGGTCCCCACCGGTACCGAGGCTGGTCCAGGCTGGCCCAAAGTGGCACATCCCTTCTAAGGGGAGCTCAGGCCTAAACAGGTAAATCATCCATCCCCACTGTCCCGAGACCCAACCCCTCTCCAGAGGATGAACGACATGAGCACCAGCAGGGAGGGTCCTGACCACTTCCTGGGAGAGGATGGTGCCCAAGAAGATCCTGGAACCAGTGGTTTCCCTTCTATGATTAAAGGGTTTCAAAGTGAAGAGGGAGACCTTTCAACAAGAAGGTCATCTCGGAACCCTGTTCAGAAAGTGGGTTTTATTCTTTTAGTGTACTGGGCCTTGAGTTGAAGTGAGAGGGTGTATTCTTCAAAGGCTTAATCACAGATGCCGGGCTGGTCCCCAGGGGCATTCCTTTGTTCTGGGAAGCACTGCCTTTCACGGAAGCCAGCAGGAGACGTTTGCTCTCCATCTCCTCGTCTGCTCAAATCTTCTCTCCCAGCTGAGCTGATTTTCCTTTGCATGAATATATGAAGGCTGGCAGTCTGTGTCTGTGACTCTGAGTCTGCCCTTCCTCAAGCTGGTTTCCTTACCCACCCTGGCCTTCTCTCGCGCTTTTGTTTTTATTGCTTGGGCAAAAGCAGAAAAGAACAGAACAGAGCACAGTGTACCGGCTTCTGCAGCCCACAAGCTCTCCTTTCCATATTTCTGCCTGACCTGTCTCTATTTTTATGCATCTGCAACTCTTCTTGATTTTTCCCTGCTCTGGGCTTTCTAAACAGAGCCTCACTGTAGTTTGATTACTCAGACCCTTTGCTCAAAACATCAGTAGAAACTTTCCTGACACCATCACAGACCACAAATCTCAGGTGGATTTCAGGTATAGTATTAAGGAAGATCAACCTCCTCCCCTCCTCCCCCGCCTCCTCCAAATGAAGCTCTGTACATACATATGCCTATGAATACATACATAAATTGGAGAAGGTAATGGCAACCCACTCCAGTATTGTTGCCTGGAAAATGTCATGGACAGAGAAGCCTGGCGGGCTATAGTCCATGGGGTTGCAAAGAGTCGGACATGTCTTAGCAACTAAACCACCACCACATAGATGAACACAGAGCACATAGTAAAACCTCTGAACATTAAGTTACTTTATTAATACGAGGGTAGAGAGTCATGCTGACAAACGAAATCTGGAGATCAGTTGGAGCCTCCTTTCTTCTGAGCTCTCCACCTGATTTGTCCCAACCCCGTTTCCACTAAATTCTTGCACTTCCCCGTGACACTCACTACATCGCAGCTATCTGTCCTTCTAGACTCCTGCTGTCATAACATATGGCACCCCAGAAGTGACGCTCACTGCTTTACTGCCTGGCACAAAAAACCTGCTCACATGAAACATACACGAGTCTGGTAAACTTAACTGGGGACTCAGTGGGGTACGAACAGGAAGACAGAGCAGTGCAAAGAACTGCAGATTGAGGGTTAGACATCCAGGTTCTTAAAAGTCCTTCCAGCTTCCCCCACCAAGGTTTCCTCCTTGGCCCCTCACTCAAAAAACTCTGACCGTGCACACCTTACTGATTCATCTCTGCTACATATCACCTACCTCCCAAATTTCTCCCTGAACTTCAAAGTTCTCTCAAAAACAGTTCAGCCCTCCAAAGCTCCTGCTTCACTCCTAAGTTTGCAGAGATCATTAGCTCATGCATGCGCACTAAGTTGCTCAGTCCTGTCCGACTCTTTTCGACCCCATGGACTGTGGCCCGCCAGGCACCTCTGTCCATGGGATTCTCCAGGCAAGAATACTGGAGTGGGTTGCCATTACCTGCTCCAGGGGATCTTCCCAACCCAGGGGTTGAACCCAAGTCTCTTATGCCTCCTGCATTGGCAGTTGGATTCTTTACCACTAGTGCCTCTTGGGAAGCCCTCATTAGCTCATCAGTTCAGTTCAGTTCAGCTCAGTTGCTCAGTCGTGTCCGACTCTTTGCGACCCCATGGACTACAGCACGCCAGGCTTCCCTGTCCATCACAAACTCCCGGAGCTTGCTCAAACTCATGTCCATCACATCGGTGATGCCATCCAACCATCTTATCTTCTGTCATCCCCTTCTCCTGCCTTCAATCCTTCCCAGAATCAGGGTCTTTTCCAATGAGTCGGTTCTTCGCATCAGGTGGCTAAAGTATTGAAGTTTCAGCTTCAGCATCAGACCTTCAAATACTCATTGGAAAAGGACTGATTTCCTTTAGGATGGACTGGTTAGATGTCCTTGCAGTCCAAGGGACTCTCAAGAGTATTCTCCAACACCACAGTTCAAAAGCATCAATTCTTTAGTGCTCAGCTTTCTTTATAGTCCAACTCTCACATCCATACGTGACTACTGGAAAAACCAAAGCTTGGACTAGATGGACCTTTGTTGGTAAAGTAATGCCTCTGCCTCTTAATATGCTACCTAGGTTGCATATGTTGCATATGTTGTCGTAGCTTTTCTTCCAAAAAGCAAGCATCTTTTAATTTATTAGCTTATAGAATGCTTTAAAAAATGGGAGTAAGGGGAAAGAAGGAAGAAAATAAGGAAGGACAAAAAGCAAAAACAAAAAACAAAAAAAATGTTTCTTTGAACAGGAACTACCCACTTCAGAAGGCCACTCTAGTTGGAGTTGTTATATTTATTTTAGTTAAAAAAA